CCCCCCCAAAACCCCTCCCCCCCAAAAATTTAAACCTCCCCTCCACAAGACTTTTTGCTCACTTTAGCATTGAAATCCCCAACTACCATTACTCTCACACTTGTTCAAAACTACCCACGCATTCACTCAACATTTCCCAAAATCTCTCTCTCTCTCCTCTACACTTCTCTCTTCTCCAGGTGCATATATGCTTACTATAACCCACTTTTCACATCCAACCTTTATTTTACTCTACATCATCCTTGAATTAATACATTTATAGTCCCTCTTTTCCTGTCATAACTTATCCTTCAACATTATTGCTACTCCTTCTTTAGCTCTAACTCTATTTGAAACCCCTGACCTAATCCCATTTATTCCTCTCCACTGAAACTCTCCCATTCCCTTCAGCTTTGTTTCACTTAAAGCCAGGACATCCAGCTTCTTCTCATTCATAACATCCACAATCATCTCTTTCTTATCATTTGCACAATATCCACGCACATTCAGACTTCCCACTTTGACAATTTTTTTCTTCTTATTCTTTTTAGTAATTATTACAGGAAAAGGGTCACTAGCCCATTGTTCCCGGCATTTTAGTTGACTTTTACAACACGCATGGTTTACGGAGGAAAGATTCTTATTCCACTTCCCCATGGATATAAAAGGAAAAGTAATAAGACCAAGAACTATTAAGATAAAATCAAAGAAAACTCAGATGAGTGTGTATAAATAAACATGTACATGTATGTGTAGTGTGACCTAAGTGTAAGTAGAAGTAGCAAGACGTACCTGTAATCTTGCATATTTATGAGACAGACAAAAGACACCAGCAATCCTACCATCATGTAAAATAATTACAGACTTTCATTTACATTCACTTGGCAGGACGGTAGTACCTCCCTGGGTGGTTGCTGTCTATCAGCCTACTACCTACATTATGTAAAAAATGTCCTCTTCATTTAAAAAAAAAAAAAACTTTTTTTTAAATATTCGGAGCGCTGGGTGAGAGAACGTAGATCTACATTTGGGCGGTTAATGGGTCAAAGTCAGTACCTGATCAGCTGGGCTGTGGTTCATATGTTGGTTTACTTGCAGCCAGCAGTAACAGCTTGGTTGATCAGACCCTGATCCACCACGAGGCATGGTCTCTTACCGGGCTGCAGGGGCGTTGACCCCTGAAACCCTCTCCAGGTATACCCCTCCTTCAGAGTGCAGGCACTGTACTTCCCACCTCCAGGACTAAGTCCAGCTAACCAACTTCCCTTAATTCCTTCACAAAATGTTACCTTGCTCACACTTTAACCCTTTGAGGGTTTTGGCAGTACTAGTACAGCTTACGACCCAGGGTTTTTGACGTACTAGTACGCCTAAATTCTAGCGCCCTCAATTCTAGTGGGAGAAAGCTGGTAGGCCTACATTTGAAAGAATGGGTCTATGTGGTCAGTGTGCACAGTATAAAAAAAATCCTGCAGCACACAGTGCATAATGAGAAAAAAAAAAACTTTGACCGTTGTTTTGGAATAAAACAGGGACTTTGCACTGTATTTTCATATACGACCAGGACATCTAGCTTCTTTTCATTCATAACAGTGACATCCATGTCTTTCTTATTATCTGCACTACATCAACACTCATTCAAATATTCCAACATTTTTTTTTTTCAGTGAACCAGCCATTTCCCATCAAGTTAGGGTGATCTAAAAAGAAAATCGAAAGATTTTCTTTTTAAATTTAGTAATTCATACAGAAAGGGTTACTAACCCCTTGCTCCCGGAATTTTAGTCACCTCTTACGACACGCATGGCTTACAGAAGAAGAATTCTGCTTCACTTCCCCATGGAGATGCAAGGAAATAAATAAGAATGAGAACTATTAAGAAAATAGAAGAAAACTCAGATGGGTGTGTATGCATATACATGTACATGCATGTGTAGTGTGATATAAGTTTAAGTAGAAGTAATCAGATGTACTTCTTGTGTGTTTATGAGACAAAGAAAAGGCACTAGCAATTCTACCACTGTGTAAAACAATTACAGGTTTCCATTTTACATTTGGCAGGATGGTAGTACCTCCCTGGGTGGTTGCTGTCTACCAACCTACCACAGGATGGTAGTACCTCCCTGGGTGGTTGCTGTCTACCAACCTACTACTTTACACATAAATTTATTTATTCATAACAAAGAGCATAGCTTAAGAAAGCAACCATGAAAAATGCAGGCATAATAATGATCGGGTAATTACTGGAAGGTATTACATTAAACCATTCATTTTTGGCATTCAACTGAAATGAAAATATAAGCCAAACAAACAAACAAACAAAAAAAAAAAAAACCTAAACAACAGGCATGTGTGCAATTAAACTCTTTATATTTGGGGAAGAGGTGCATTACTAAAATCAGAACATCGCTAGGACTTGAAAACAAGGTACTCTCTCCAAAATTCAAAATACATCCAGTAAGTACATAACCCCCAATGCTTGCTTTTGCTAACACCTACAGGATTCTTGTACATGATTACTACTAAATCAAGATTTCCATTGGCAGATTTTGAGCACAGGCAACAATACATCTACTGAAAAGCCATTTCTCACTATATAAGTAATAAAAAATAGAGATATATTATTTTCTTTGCAAAGCATGGATATATATAAGCTATTGTAGGTGTGAGCTGGGCAAGACAACCAGGGTTGCCTGCATTACTCATACTTGTGGCCGTTTCCCGATCAGCCTGTTCAATTGTGTCCGTCAGCTGACCTTTGTCTGTGTGTACAACTGGAGTGTCTGGCCCAACTTGTGCTTCCTGAAAAATGGAATCATTATATTTAATCCAAAGGCAAAACTAATTATATTCATGGATATTACTAACACTTATAGCTCCACTGGATTCTATGCATTACCATTAAAATCATTAAGAGGATTCAATATTAATTTCAGTAATGTATGATGCCAAAGATAATTTATGACACACGTATACTGTACAACAAAAAAAAAAAATTTGCATCCTAAATAAATAAATGCAGTTGTAGTGAATTAAAAACTGTAGGAAAAGGCTTTGTTCATTAACTGTATCAACAGGTACTAAGAAGCACTTTGAAAATAATAAAACAGTACATGAAATTAAGTGAGATTACTGGTTACCTATAAATGTAACTTCAATATAAGAAATAAGGGCCATGTTGGAAAAACTTATATATTTTTTTTTTAACACGTCGACCATTTCCCACCAAGGCAGGGTGACCCAAAAAGAAAGAAAATCCCCAAAGAGAAAAAAAAAAACTTTCATTAACATTCAACACTTTCACCATCACTCAAACATAATCACTGTCTTTGCAGAGGTGCTCAGATATGACAGCTTAGATGTCTCTCCAAACTTCCAATATCCTAAATCCAATCTTTAACCCTTAAACTGTCCAAACGTAGATCTACGTTTGCGCGCGTAGCGCTCTGACCTTAATTTTCTCCATAAGAAAGAATGTAAAAAACGTAGATCGACGTTCAGAGCACTTCACGAGCGAATGCAGATCTACATTTGGACAGTTTAAGGGTTAAAAAGCAGGCATTGTATGTCCCATTTCCAGGACTCAAGTCCAGCTAACCAGTTTCTCTAAATCCCTTCACAAATTATTACCCTGCTCAAACTCCAATAGCTCGTCAGGTCCCAAAAACCATTCGTCTCCATTCACTCCTATCTAACACGCTCACACACGCTTGCTGCAAGTCCAGGCCCCTTGCCCACAAAACCTCTTTTACCCCCTCCCTCCAACCTTTTCGGGGATGACCCCTACCCGTCTTCCTTCCCCTACAGACTTATAACCTCTCCAAGTCTTTCTACTTTGTTCCATTTTCTCTAAATGACCAAACCACTTCAACAACCCCTCTTCAGCCCTCCGACTAATACTTTTAATAACTCCACACCTTCCCCTAATTTCCACACTTCGAATTCTCTGCATAACATTTACACCACACATTGCCCTTAGACACAACATCTTCACTGCCTCCAGCTGCCTCCTTGCTGCAACATTTACAACCCAAGCTTCACACCCATATAAGAGCATTGGTACCACTATACTCTCGTAAATTCCCTTCTTTGCCTCCATGGATAATGTTCTCGTCTCCACAGATACCTCAATGCACCACTCCCCTTTTTTCTTTCATCAATTCTATGGTTAACCTCATCCTTCATAAATGCATCCACTGAAAAGACAACTCGCAAATATCTGAAAACATTCACTTCTTCCACACTCCCTCCCCCCAATGTGATATCCAATTTTCCATTATCTAAATCGTTTGATACCCTCATCATCTTACTCTTATCTATGTTCACTTTCAACTTTCTATCTTTACACACACTCCCAAACTCATCCACTAGCTTCTGCAACTTTTCTTTAGAATCCCCGAAAAGCATAGTACCATCAGCAAAAATTTTTTTTTTTATTATCACACCGGCCGATTCCCACCAAGGCAGGGTGGCCCGAAAAAGAAAAACTTTCACCATCATTCACTCCATCACTGTCTTGCCAGAAGGGTGCTCTACACTACAGTTTTTAAACTGCAACATTAACACCCCTCCTTCAGAGTGCAGGCACTGTACTTCCCATCTCCAGGACTCAAGTCCGGCCTGCCGGTTTCCCTGAATCCCTTCATAAATGTTACTTTGCTCACACTCCAACAGCACGTCAAGTATTAAAAACCATTTGTCTCCATTCACTCCTATCAAACACGCTCACGCATGCCTGCTGGAAGTCCAAGCCCCTCGCACACAAAACCTCCTTTACCCCCTCCCTCCAACCCTTCCTAGGCCGACCCCTACCCCGCCTTCCTTCCACTACAGACTGATACACTCTTGAAGTCATTCTGTTTCGCTCCATTCTCTCTACATGTCCGAACCACCTCAACAACCCTTCCTCAGCCCTCTGGACAACAGTTTTGGTAATCCCGCACCTCCTCCTAACTTCCAAACTACGAATTCTCTGCATTATATTCACACCACACATTGCCCTCAGACATGACATCTCCACTGCCTCCAGCCTTCTCCTCGCTGCAACATTCATCACCCACGCTTCACACCCATATAAGAGCGTTGGTAAAACTATACTCTCATACATTCCCCTCTTTGCCTCCAAGGACAAAGTTCTTTGTCTCCACAGACTCCTAAGTGCACCACTCACTCTTTTTCCCTCATCAATTCTATGATTCACCTCATCTTTCATAGACCCATCCGCTGACACGTCCACTCAGCAAAAAGTAACTGTCAAATCCCCTTTTGTATATGATTTCCCATAATTTAATCCCACCCCACTCCCGAACATCCTAGCATTTACTTCTTTTACAACCCCATCTATAAATATGTTAAATAACCATGGTGGTATTACACATCCCTGTCTAAGACCTACTTTTATTAGGAAGTAGTCTCTCTCTCTCCTACACACCCGAACCTGAGTCTCACTATCTTCATAAAAATATCTTTACAGCATTTAGTAACTTACTACCTATTCCAGACACTTGCAACATCTGTCACATTGTTTCCCTATCCACTCTATCATATACCTTTTCTAAATCCATAAATGCAATGAAAACTTCCCTACCTTTATCTAAGTACAGTGGACCCCAGCTTAACAATCACCTCCCAATGCGACCAATTATGCAAGTGAATTTATGTAAGTGTATTTATGTAACTGCGTTTGTATGTGTATGTTTGGGGGTCTGAAATGGGCTAATCTACTTCACAATATTCCTTATGGGAACAAATTCGGTCAGTACTGGCACCTGAACATACTTCTGGAATGAAAAAATATCATTAACCGGGGGTCCACTGTATTGTTCACATACATGCTTCAATGAAACACCCGATTTACACATCCCCTACCCATTCTAAAGTCCCCTTGTTCACCTGCAATCCTGCTCTCTATCTTACCTCTAATTCTTTCAATAATAGCCCTACCATGCACTATACCTCGAATACTCAGTAAACTTTTTTTTTTTTAACAAGTCGGCCACCTCCCACCGAGGCAGGGTGACCCTAAAAAAGAAAAAAATCCCCAAAAAGAAAATACTTTCACCTCACTCACACATAATCACTGTTTTTGCAGAGGTGCTCAGAATACAACAGTTTAGAAACATATACGTATAAAGATACACAACATATCCCTCCAAACTGCCAATATTCCAAACCCCTCCTTTAAAGTGCAGGCATTGTACTTCCCATTTCCAGGACTCAAGTCCGGCTATATAACAATAACTGGTTTCCCTGATTCCCTTCACTAAATATTACCCTGCTCACACTCCAACAGCTTGTCAGCTCCCAAATACCATTCATCTCCATTCACTTCTAACACGCTCACGCACGCTTGCTGGAAGTCCAAGCCCCTCGCCCACAAAACCTCCTTTACCCCCTCCCTCCAACCATTTCGAGGATGACCCCTACTCCGCCTTCCTTCCTCTACAGATTTATATGCTCTCCATGTCATTCTCCTTTGATCCATTCTCTCTAAATGACAAAACCACCTCAACAACCCCTCTTCAGCCCTCTGACTAATACTTTTATTAACTCCACACCTTCTCCTAATTTACACACTTCGAATTTTCAGCATAATATTCACACCACATATTGCCCTAAGACAGGACATCTCCACTGCCTCCAACTGCCTCCTTGCTGCAGCATTTAGAGCCCAAGCTTCACAACCACATAAGAGTGTTGGTACTACTATACTTTCATACATTCCCTTCTTTGCCTCCATAGATAACGTTTTTTGTCCCCACATATACCTCAACTCACCACTCACCTTTTTTCCTTCATCAATTCTATGATTAACTTCATCCTTCATAAATCCATCCGCTGACAAGTCAACTCCCAAATATCTGAAAACATTCACTTCTTCCATACTCCTCCTCCCCAATTTGATATCCAATTTTTCTTTATCTAAATCATTTGATACCTTCATCACCTTACTCTTTTCTATGTTCACTTTCAACTTTCTGCTTTTACACACACTCCCAAACTCATCCACTAACCTTTGCAATTTTTCTTTAGAATCTCCCATAAGCACAGTATCATCAGCAAAAAGTAACTGTGTCAATTCCCATTTTGTATTTGATTCCCAATAATTTAATCCCACCCCTCTCCCAAACACCCTAGCATTTACTTCTTTTACAACCCCATCTATAAATATATTAAACAACATTGGTGACATTACACATCCCTAAGACCTACTTTTACCGGGAAGTAGTCTCCTTCTCTTCTACACACCCTAACCTGAGCCTCACTATCCTCATAAAAACTCTTTACAGCATTTAATATCTTACCACCTATTGCATACACTGTACTTGTAACATCTGCCACATTGCTCCCCTATCCACTCTATCATATGCCTTTTCTAAATCCATAAATGCAATAAAAACTTCCCTAACTTTACCTAAATACTGTTCACATATATGCTTCAATGTAAACACTTGATCTACACATCCACTGCCCACTCTGAAACCTCCTTGCTCATCCGCAATCCTACATTCTTTCAGTAATAACCCTACAATACACTTTTCCTGGTATACTCAGTAAACTTATTCTTCTATAATTTTTACAATCTCTTTTGTCCCCTTTCCCTTTATATAAAGGGACTATACATGCTCAATGCCAATCCCTAGGTACCTTCCCCTCTTTCATACAATTATTAAACAAAAATACCAACCACTCCAACACTATATCTTCTCCTGCTTTTAACATTTCTGTCATGATTCTGGCAGTTCCAGCTGCTTTATTCCCTTTCATTCTACGTAATGACTCACACACCTCCCCCACACTCA